GGGGGGGGGGGGGGAAGTAATGCTAATGGGAGAAAATAGCCAGAAACAGAATTGTATAGAAAAGAATATTGTAATGCAAATGCTAAAGTGTAGCATCTTGTGTGTTTAAGAAAACATTGTACAGAAGTGGTTTTGATGAGGAACTTAAAGGACCTGAGCTTTGGACTGATGAATAAAGAAGGAAGGCTATTCAATGGAGAGTAAATAGAATGAGTTTTGACAAAGAGCAGTCTACATTTGGTGAAATACCCGCTTGAGATACTCTGCACACACACACAAAAAAAAAACTTGTACTGTTCCTGATCCAAGATCTAAAACAACATCCACAGTTGGGTAATGCCTTTATGAGATCCATCCCAAATGCCACAAAAATGTGCAAACTTAAGGCTTTTCAGAAGTCATCATGAGGCTAAATACAGTAGTCTCTCCCGATTCGTGTGGGGATCCGTTCCAGGGGGAGGCTGCGAATCCAGGAAAACGCAAATATCCGAGTCCCCATTGGTTACAATGGCGGGGCGCTCCCACGCACAACAATTTGTCCCTTCCTGCTTGCCGTCAACGAAGGAGTGAGACCGCAGACTCCGAGTCCGCAAACAGGGAGGGACAAGTGTAGTTCAAATAGTAGATTATGGGGTACAAAACAAACATCCAAAAACTAGGCTTGGTGTTGGGGCCATGCAATCAGCAGTATATCTTCAGATAGAGATTGCAGACTGTATGAAGACACTGATGTGCAAGTATCAGATTACACCCAACAGTACATTCAGGGATGAAGGAGCAATAACTTTGCTGTATGCTTTGACATAAGAGACACAGGGGTCTAGCAAAGCTTGGAACAGAAGTCAACAATATTTTAAATAAATATTGAAATTAAATATATTGGCTGGGTTCCTAAGATGTTAGTTAACTTGCAGAAGTTCACATTCTTTCCTCCCTCCTCCCTTTGGCAACTATCTCTGTATGTGGATGGTTGAGAGTCCCCCTGAGCAATGTGACATGAGGAGAAGTACAGGGAAAGAAGACTAGCACTCAAAATTAATGATTATCCCAATTTTGAGTGTTTTCTTTCTCTCCCTCTATAGGGGATTTTTTTCTGAAAATTCTTTTTTTGTGGAATTGGAATCTGCAGAACCCTAGAAGTAGGATGGGAAAACCATTTTATAAAACATTTTTCTCTTTAAGAGTGAAAGAAATGCTTTTTGAGCAAGGTTTTGGATACTCAACATGTTACATGTTTTTTGTTTTGATTTTTGGTATGGCAACAAATAGAATAATTAAAAATTGGGTGATAATTCTTGTATATGTTGTAAATATAAGACAACAGAATTTAAGATTTATACCTGCTCTGAGGGATTGTAACTATTGTCATGAGATGGTTATGACTATTGGATTGCAAGAGAGGGGTCCTTATTAAATTTCCTGCTCTTTGCAGATCTCCCGATAGCCACAAGGAGAGAAGGAGAAGGGGCCAGCCTGAAAAAGATACCCTCTACTTACCATCGTATCTAAGAACAGAAGCATCGAAATGCAGACATCTGACTAACATCTCCAATTTTTTCTCCTGTTTGGTTTGTAACATCTTGCGTGATAAGAAGCCAGTCGAAAGCTTGCAACAGGTATATTGTGCATTTTGGTTGGCCAATAAAGGCATCACTGTTTGGTGGATTTTTGTTTGAATTTGCTAAATGGCCAACACAGCTACTTCTGCAATTAAATGATATATTTTATGATAAGGCATTAAAATAAATTTATATTTTATTAGAGGCTAAGTATTGCATATATCTCACCTTTTCACCAGCATCTGTCATCCACATCCCCAAAGGAGAGGAAATGGTTTCAAGACTTGAATACCTCTGGAAATGTTATATCTCTACCCATAGATTGCTCCCACATTTTCTCAGGCAGGTTTTCCAGCCCTTTGTAGATCACAGGATACTTAGTTGATTAATCAGACTAACTATAGGTAGATGGCAAATTGACTGTTTATAGGTAAATGGGTGTGTTATACCTTTGACTTGCATGGGTGGTAGTGCAGCTTTTTTTTCATTCCATATCTGGTGAACATCTAATATTTTTTTTTTGTATGCATAAAATAATATTGTTTGCATTTGTTATTGTTGCTGTGTGCCTTCAAGTTGTTTCTGACTTAAGGCAACCCTAAGGCAGGCTTATCATGGGGTTGATGTGGCGTAGTGGTTTGAGTGTTGAACTGCCGCTCTGGAGACCAGGGTTCTATTCCCAGCTTCACCATGAAACCCACTGGGTGACCTTGGGCAAGTTGTATTCTCTCAGCCTCTGGGAAAGGCAGTGGCAAACCCCCTCTGAACAAATCTTATAAGAAAACCCCATAGGTTTGCTTTAGAGTTGCCATAAGTCAGAAAAGACTTGAAGGCACACAACAACAACCACAACAACAGAAGTTTCAGACAGCAAGTAGCTAGATTGCTTACTTACTAATATTCAGACCTCATTGGGGGGGACAAAACCTATTTAGGTAATCTTTTTTCAAATCTTATTGTAAACTTAATAGTAAGGTGTAAAACCATTTTCAACTTCCTTTTCTTAAGTGAACTATATGTTGCCTGTAATGTGATGACGTGCTGTTTTTGAATTCCGTATATATGTAGTTATCAATCTTTTTTTTAATTGGGGCAGGCAAATGAGTGGTTATGGGAGTAAAAGATGGGTCTGTTTTCTGGGCTCTTATACAGAGGTGGAAGAATTGGTGAGCCAGATTTCAAATTCACATTGTATCAGCTTATCTTAGAATCAGAATAAAGGAACTGTGTTTTAATTGGTAGCTTAGCCAACTACTCCTCTGTTAGGATATGGATGGAATATGCAGTCAAAGGTGAAATGTAGAGATG